GCTCTCACCTCAAGCCCCTCTCACACACTTGCTGAGAGCACACCATGTTCCACCATGGCTTGCTGTTTATCTTGTAGAGACAGAAAAGTAACCCAGTTTTATCAGATTGCAGTTATGTTCCCGGTAGTCAAAGGGCAGAAGTTTCCGACAGACTTAATCACTAAAAAAATCCGGTCAGCCTGTTCACTTTGACTCCCCGAATCTAAGCTTCACCCCCTTTTTGTGTGCTCCCTCAGCACTGCTGGTTATATCAGGAGTTACATGAGAATAAAATGCCATGTATAACAACAAGAAAACCCACAGAATTAACTAACCTGGGTTCATAGAGGCTCAAAGAGACTGATCCAAGAACCAGGAAGCCTGCAAGACTGGCCCTAGGCCCTCTGCATATATGTGACAATTGTGTAGCTTAGTCTTCTTGTGGGACTCCTATCAGTGGGAGCAGGGGCTGTCTCTGACTCTGTTGCCTGCTTCTGGGGGACCCTTTCCTCCTACCAAGTTGCCTAGTTTAGCCTTACTAGGAGAGATGGTGCCTATTTTCATTGCAATTTGTTATACCATGTTGGGCTGATGCCTGCCCTTTTCTGAATAGAAACAAAGGAGTGGATGGGGATGGGGGGATTGGAGGCAGGCAGAGGAAATGTGGGGGAGAGTGGCTGGGAGGAGAGGAGGGAGGGGAAACTGTGGTTGGGAATGTAAATAATAATAATAATGATAATAATAACAATAAATCATTAAAAATAATAAAATACTTCTAAACTGATAAAAAAAAAAAAATGCCATGTATAGCTTTATGTTAAATCTGTGGTGTGACAAATTGCTGAGTTCCTTGAATGGTGTTATTTAGAACCACCTTTTTAGGATATACAGAAACTAACAACCAAGCATGGTGCCCAATAAAAAGGATAGGTTTAAAGCTACCTATAGTGAGATTTCCCAGGAAGCCTGACATGCTGTAGCCAGTAGTACCGAGCAACTTCTAAGTGGACTCTGGAGTTGCTGACCCTGCCATGCCAGGAATGGAAATTAATCTGATGAAAGCAGATTTAAAAGAACAGAACAGAATTTTATAAAGCTGTACAAACACAGGTACATGCTAAATACAACTACAATGTTTGTAAGTGGGGGAAGGAAATGTAAAACACAATCTAGCAAAGTACGATAACTCTAAAGCATGAACACAGTAACTCCAGGCATGATATACAGCGCATGTGGGCATGGGGGAAAGTATTAAAGTACAATCAGAACATACAGGGCATACAATAGCTTCCAAGTAGCATGCAAAGCATGAGTTTAAAAGAAAACATAGGTAAATTCAAAATTAGACTGTGGTAGTTGTCTTCAGATGCAACCTTGAACATAAATTTTGCTTACTATCTGATTAATAAGTAATATCTCTGTGCTGTGTATTCTTGCTACCTTTCTGACTTTAAGTGTGATAACCCTCTTACCAGTAGTAGGCAAAGAAACCTACCGATTTGTAACACAATAGAAAAGACTGAGCACAGTAGTGCAGTACCTCCACACAGTAGGTTCTGTATTCACCACTTCCAAAAACCACAAAACATTTCATTTGCTGCATAGAAGTATCCAAGAATTTTTCATTATACTTGATAAACTACCTTTTACAGAATACATGCATGCTATGTGTTTCTTCAAATGAAATTACTATTTTTCCCTTAGGCATTTTTGGTACATATTTTGGGAGTCACTCAGTATAATCATTTTGATATCATTCACTTGAGAGGAGGAAAATGTTGAAAAGCAATAATGACCTTTTACAAGTCATGTTGCTTTGTATATTTAAGGTATACCATGTGGTTTTATAGAGCATACAAACACATACAGTGCATAGCTTTATATTAAATTTGTGGGTATGTGCATGTGTTTATGCTGCCAGAGTGAAGCAATTAACACACTGCATTATGTCAATAGGTATTGAGAATTTTGTTTGTTTGTACGCTTGGCAAGCACAGCTGACACCATGGGCTGGGGAGATGGCTCAGTAGGCAGAGGTGCTTACTACACGAGCTTGGCAACCAGAGTATGATCTCCAAAGCTCACACAGAGGTGGAAGGAGAGAATAACTCTTCCAAGTGTCCACTGTCCTTCACAAGAGGGCTGTGGTACACATGCCTCCAATATAGATAGGTAGGTAGATGATAGATAGATAGATAGATAGATAGATAGATAGATAGATAGATAGATAGTAGGCAGGCAGCAGGCAGGCAGGCAGGCAGACAGACAGATGATAGATGGATATATAGATAGATGATAGATAGATAGATAGATAGATAGATAGATAGATAGATAGATACATACATACATACATAGATACATAGATAGATACATAGATAGATACAGAGATAGATAGATAGATAGATAGATAGATAGATAGATAGATAGATAGATAGATAGATATTTTAATGAACAGCTAAAACCTACTCATTGCCTATGCATCCCACACAATCATTTTATGACCTAAAGTTCTTGTGTTGTTCATTTGGCCTCTAGACTTTTTCATCCTACATACCTGCTACTTTGAGAAAAATCCTCACCTGGAAAGCTGCCTCCACAATCAGTCTTTGTAAAACTGGACTTCTGGGAGTCCCTTCTGATGCAGCAGGCTCAGTGGGAACCTGAAGAGCAAGTGAGCTTTGGTATGTCTCTTCCAGAAATTAACTGAGCTGAGGCTGGAAATGTGGACCTTGCACTAAGCATGTTGACAAAAACTTCTTGGTACCAGCTCTAGTGAAATCTAACCCTTCCCTCCTTCACTGGTCTCGTGCTGTAGGAACTTGCTCTGCAAGATGAGGCTAACATTTGCCCTCTGAACTTCTCTCTCTAAACACCACCTTGCTCTTTGCTCCACTTGCCATTGGTATGCCAGCCAAAGGTGCAGTAAGCCAGCAGAGTAGAAAGGGACAGTTAGATAAGCAATACCCTCTTCCTCCCCATTTTTACCACCAAATATCAGCAAGAGCACAAGGCAGGAGGCCTGATTCATAAAGCTCAATGACATATCTCTTTTTCTAATGCGTGGCATAAAGGGAAATGACTGGCCTGCAGTGTTAGAGGAGTAAGAATCCCTTTTTCCATGGTCCTTGCTGCCACTGGAGACCATGTGGGTGTTCTTGGTCTGGGCTCCTTCAGAAGGCCATATTGATGTCTGTGGTCTGGATTGCCACCAAAGGCCATGTGGATGCCTGTGGTCTGAGCTGCTGCCTGAAGTCATGTTCATGCCCGTGGTCTGTGTTGCCACTGGAGGCCATGTCAATGTCCATGGCCTGTGCTGTGGCCAAGGATCATAATGGTACCAATGGTCTATGCTGTGCCCAAGGGTTGCTTTAATGTCTGTGGTCTGAACTGCTGCCAGAGACCACGCTGAGTGGTCCATGCTGATGGATGATGGAGGACATGTGGATGTCTATGGTCCCTGTGCTGTCACCAGAAACCATGTGTAAGCTCATGATCTGTGCTGTCACTGATTGTAAATGTCAAGGAAACTTCTTCTGCAGTGGTATCTATGACTGCAGATTCACAGTTGAGAATGAGAAACATAGAAGGCTTCTGGACTACCTCTCTCCCCTATACCCCCCCCAAAAAAAACAAACAGTCTAGACAGGAAGCCAGGGAGGAGAACTCTTAATCTCACTTTTATGGAGACAGAAACTGATGGTTACTGTGTTGAAGACAGAAAAGTATTCAGTCCAGATAGCTTTTGTTCTTTTTTAAAATTCCACAAAGGGGCTTCATTATGATATTATCATAATGTATAAGATATATTTTTACTTTCCACAGTAGTAAATTATATGCTAATTTGCCTCCCCCATTACCCTTTCTTATCTCCTCTCCTTTTACCCATTTTCCTCTTCTTTTTTTCATTTTTCTTTATTAAGAAATCTTCCACTCACTTTACATACCACCCACAGATCTCATCTCCTCCCTCCTCTCACCCCCTAGCCCTCTCCCCAAGCCACCCCACAGCCCCACATCTCAAATCAAGGGGAGTCAGCAGAGGCCAGCACACTGAGCCTAGGCAGGTCCAAGCCCCTTCCCACTCACCAAGGCTGTGCAAGGCATCACACCACAGGCACCGGATTCCCAAAAGCCTGCCCATTCACCAGGGATGAATCCCGATCCCCCTGCCTGGGTGCCCCCTAAACAGTTCAAGCCAAACAACTGTCCTCTGTATCTAGAGGGCCCAGTCCAGTCCCGTGGGGGCTCCACAGCCACCAGTCTACAGTTCATGGACTTCTACTAGTGTGGCTGGCCGGCCATCTCTGCATGTCTTCCCATCATGATCTCGACATCCCCCGCCTGCAGAATCGCTCCTCTCTCTCATCAATTGAATTCCCATGGGGAGATGGGAGGGTCAAGCTGAAATGGGGACAGGGTGGGAGGGCAGGGAGGGAGATGCCATGATGGATGGGGACATCATGGGAATAGGAGGAGGCAGGATGCTGGGGAGGCTCTCAGGATTCCACAGGGATGATGACCCCACCTTGAACTCCTGGCAGTGGTCTGGAGGGTCCCTGGACTGGTCTACTCTGGTGACCAGTCTATCAAATAACCTAACTGTCATCATAGAACCTTTGTCCAGTGACTGATGGAGGCAGTTGCAGAGATCCTTTTTCCTCTTCCAAATCTCCTAAAATACAATTCTTTCTTTACTCTCATATCTAGCTTCTACATGACAGAAAATACTTGATATTTATCTCTGTGAGCCTACCTGTTCTACTGATGATCCCATCCAGTTCTGTACATTTTCCTGTAAGTAATGTAATTTCATTCTTCTTAACTAAACAATGCTCTGTTGTACATGTATATAACACATTCCTTTTATCCATTCATCTATGGATGGCTACCTACCCCGATGCATACCCTGGCTATTGGGGATAGTGTAGTGATAAGCATAGGTATGCGGGCATATCTGTAGTAGCCTTTGATTCTCTGGGTATGTCTCCTGTATGGATGGAACACATGGTGTTGTTTTTAATTTCTCCCAAAAACATCTATATTGAGTTCTATGGTGGCTAAACTAGTTTACATTGCCACCAGTAGTTTATAAGGGTTCCTTCTCTGCTTCATTGTTGCCAGCATTTTCTGTTTGAGTTATTAAAGATAGCCATGTTGACTAGAGTGAGAAGGAATTTTCAAGTAATTTTGATTTACATTTTCTTGGTGGCAGAGGCTTTTCGCTCTAAATTGACAACACATATTAACATTTGCTCCACCTTTCTAAAAACAGACAAGGCTCATTGAGAAGGTATTTTCAGTCCCAACTTTACTATGTGAAACAACTAAGAAAGGATGTTTGACAGTCTCTGGGTTCTTGGGATCAGTACTATTTTCCCAGCTAGTCATGAGTTCTGCTAAGGAAAGAAGAGTGCATCAGGATCATGATGGGGAAACCTGCAGGGACGACCAAAAAGGGAACTCATGAAAGTGGGATCGATGGCTGTGGAGCCTACATGGGACTGGACTAGGCCCTTTGCATAGCAAGACAGTTGTGTAGCTTGATCTGCTTGGGGGGTCACCTGGCAGTAGAATCAGACGCCATCTCTGATGCATGAGTGGGCTTTGTGGAGCCCACTACCTATGATGGGACACCTCTTGAAGCCTTGAGGCAGGGAAAAGGACTTGGACTTGCCTCTACTGAATGTGCCTCCCTATGGGAGGCCTTGCCTTCTTGTGTGTGTGTGGGGAGGCAGTGGGGGAGTGAGTTGGGAGGGGAAGACTGGGGGAGCGGGAGGAGGGAAGAGGGGATCTTTGATTGGTGTGTAAAATGAATGAAAAAAATTTCTTAATATAAAAAAAGAAGATGCTCAACTAGAGAACCAGAGACATGAGTAGCTATTACCTACACAGAGAGTCAAAAGAGCTTGTGTGTTCCTTCAGTCAATGGACTGGCACTGTGCAAGTCTGCACATATTCTTCTCTGTCTTCCATTGGGATTCTGCATTTTCTTGGCACATTAATTCTCATTCCCATCACCTGTGATTTGAAGCCATTGTAACTAACCTTGACTTTCTCCAAAACAAGCTCCACTGAATTGTTACCATCAACAGGGTAAACCCGTGGATCCCATAAATCACAAAGGCCAACTACAAGAAAGGAGTGGGGTCCTCCCTTACCCCAATTATAGAAGCAGACCCCTCTTCTTCTGTCTTCTTCAGCCCACTTACTTAAACATGTGGCCAGTCAAAAGACAAGGAATGTGTACAGTCTCCTCTTCCCACAGACAAGTCTCTTAACTTCTTTGATGCTTTGGAGGAAGATGTGTTGGGGTGGGGGTAAAGGCAGTTGGAAGCAGTGGAGGCAGATATGGTCAATATATATTGTATATATGAATGCAATTCTCAAAGGAAAAAAAACCTGTTGGCACGGATATGGGAAGAGGTAACTGTTCTGCATAGTTGGTAAGATTCTTGATTGGCACAGCCATTATGGGAAACTGCATGGATACTTTAAAAGAATTAAAAAACAGAATTATGTTATCTATAAATCCTTCTTTGGGACATATGTACAATGAAGACCACTGTCTTTACTTCATAAAGGCAAATTCTTTATACGATTATTCATAAATTGCCAAGATAGGGAAATACCTAAATGTCTGCTGATGGACAAATGGATAAAGAAACACTGGCATGAAAAAAAATGCATATCACAATGTAATAATATTGTCCTTTACAAGAACAAGTTCTTATCATTTTCCATAAAGTGAATGAGCTTGGGTGATATACCAGGTGGGATAAGCTAGATAGAAAAAAGCTAACACATAAATTCACTTATATATGAAATTTAAAACAATTTTTAAAAGCACAGAAATAGAGAACAAAATGCAAGTTACCAAGGTTAGGGATGAAGTGACAAAGAGATTATGGGTATCAGAGGAATACAAAATTTCTGACTTGTTACTAAGAAAATCTAGAGATCTACTTATAGTATTAATATCATAGTACCATTGAAGTGTATATGAGATTCATACTAAATGAGATTAGCTACTCAATGTCAAATCAAAATATGGTAAATATGTGAGGTGATGGATTTGTGAATTTGTTTCACTATAGAATACATTTTTATTATCTATTTTTATTCCCAAAGCCTCAGGTTGTACACATTTAAATTTTCTTAAAAATTAGTCTTCCAGATACCATATCCAACTGCTATCATATATTTATTCATGCAGTATTTAGCATGGTTATTAAACAGAAATCAATGGTCTACCAGTGAAGCAATCATTTCAAAGTACCTGTTGATGAGGCATACTCTAGCTCCTAAACAAAGGAAAGAGTGAGAGAGAAAAGCATACACTATTTACAAGTCAGCACCATATCATGGGCAATAAGCCACATGAGGATAGTAATGTGCACATCTGATCATGGGCAATAAGCCACATGAGGATAGTAATGTGCAGCTGAATAGAAGTGTCACTGACATCCAGAATGTAGAAAACTGAACAAAGCCAGTAGCTCAGTGGACAGGTCTGGCTATGCTACATCTGCTGGATCTGAAAGCTATTATGAGGGCAGGGACTGTGGTATACTGTTGGCCATTCATACTGCTTCCCCAGAGGCCAAGCAATGCCCATTCCTTTATTGTTCATTACAATGTGTGTTTTACCTATGTCCACCATCCACTCCTCCAGCTTATTACAGCCTACCCAACACAGCCAAGTGTTCAGCATCAGAGTTACAGAGGTACACAATTCCACTGATTCCAGTCACAGGGCATAGGGACATGTTGTAGAGTATGACTCATTTTCTGTATAATTTTGTTGGCTCTGTCTGTATGATTATATACCGGGTAGCCAAGTTCATCCATAACCAAAGTCTGAGTATGAATGATGTGGGAGATGAGGCCTTGTGCCCGGTAATCAGGCACAGTGCCCGCCATTCGCATTTCTCCAGTTTGGTCCATCAGAGCCCAAGACACAGGGGTTCCTTCAGGTCCCAGAAGACATGAGCTAGGAAAGGTCTGGATACAGCGCTCAATGAATCTCTGGCTTCTCTCATTGCCACCAAAATGCCAGAATTTATCCACCAAGGCAGCATGGGTAACATCTAGTGATGAGAGTTTAAACATCTCTTGGTTGCTGTTGAGGAGAAAAAAAAAGAAAAAGAGCAGCCCTAAATATCATGCACAGTGAAATATTTGTCCCTCCTCACAAAACCCTACTGTGAGGTATGAGAACTGCAGTGATGGCGTGCATCAGCTTGGCAATGTCTGGTTAGCCATGTGACAGTAGGCAGCTAACTTAAGTTAATGCCCATCTGTTCCCCTGTTGTCCTCTTTAGAAGGAATGGGTTAATAGCCATTCTATCAGAAGACAGAAATTAATGTTATAAGAGATTTTGTCTTACAAGTACCCAGGACATAAGCAACATAAGCAGTTAAATCTTCACAAAAACTCCGTGCTGTTCTCAACATTGCTGTGACCCACCTCCCCAAAGGAAATAGAGCATGTGACATCATATAGATAAGAAAATGGACAAATAAAGAATAAATTTATTTCAAAAGCACATGCTAACAAGGAGCAAAGCACGACTTTAGAAGCATGGAATCGTGTGTGTGTGTGTGTGTGTGTGTGTGTGTGTGTGTGTGTGTGTGTGATGTTGGATGCTTTTCTCAATCTTGCTTAGCCTCACTCACTGACCCTGGAGTTCACCTATTTACTAGCTGTTCAGTGATCCTCTGTGATCTTCTTGATTCTACTACATCAGCATCAGGATAACAGACATATGGATATTCTAGGGATCTTAACTCAAATCTTCAGGCTTGCATGGGAGGTGCTTTATAGCATTTTTTTTTTGAACTAGAGTTTTCTCTCCAGGTCCCACCAAGCCCTGCAGTCTGACAGCCCACTTATAAAATAAACACACACACAGCTTATTATTTAAACTGTTTGGCCTAATGGCTCAGACTTCTTGTTATCTAGTTCTTATATTTTAAATTAACCTATTTTTATTATTCTATAAGTTGCCACATGGCCTGTGGCTTACCGGTACCTTACATCTCGCTTGTCATGGTGGCGGCTGGCAGTATCTCTCCACCTTCCACTTCCCAGAATTTTTCTTTCTGCTTGTCCTGCCTATACTTCCTGCCTGGCTACTGGCCAATCAGTGTTTTATTTGCTAACCAATCAGAGCAACACACTTGACATACAGAACATCCCACAGCACTTCCCCTTTTCTTTTTTTTTTAAAAAAGGAAGGTTTTAACTTTTACATAATAAAATTACAGATAACAAAAGAATTATCAAGCAAGAATTACACTTATAATATCTAGTCTATTTATAATAACTAGTCTATTTGGCCAAAATTAAAGAAGATATCCTAGAGACGTTCTCGCCCAGAGTCGCCGCGGTTTCCTGCTTCAACAGTGCTTGAACGGAACCCGGCGCTCGACCCTTCCGACCCCAGCCGGCTGCTCCGATCCAGAACCCTTTGCAACTTCGTCGCTTCGCCGCTCCAGCGTCGCCACCGCGCCTCGCCCAGCCGCTGCCATGACCACCGCGTCTCCCTCACAAGTGCGCCAGAACTACCACCAGGACTCAGAGGCTGCCATCAACCGCCAGATCAACCTGGAACTGTATGCCTCCTACGTCTATCTGTCTATGTCTTGCTACTTCGACCGGGATGATGTCGCTCTGAGGAACTTTGCCAAATACTTTCTCCACCAATCTCACGAGGAGAGGGAGCATGCTGAGAAACTGATGAAGCTACAGAACCAACGAGGTGGCCGAATCTTCCTGCAGGATATCAAGAAACCAGACCGTGATGACTGGGAGAACGGACTGAATGCGATGGAGTGCGCACTGCACTTGGAGAAGAGTGTGAATCAGTCACTCCTGGAACTGCACAAACTGGCTACTGACAAGAATGACCCCCACTTGTGTGACTTCATTGAGACCCATTACCTGAACGAGCAGGTGAAATCCATCAAGGAACTGGGTGACCACGTGACCAACCTCCGCAAGATGGGAGCCCCTGAAGCCGGCCTGGCGGAATATCTCTTTGACAAGCACACCCTGGGACACAGTGATGACAGCTGAGCTGACTTCCCCAAAGCCACCAGTGACTTCACTGGTCACTGAGGCCGTGCATGCATGTCGGGCTGCCTGTATCTTTTCTAAAAGTCGCACCAAAACATCCGCTTAAGTTCTTTAATTTGTACCATTTCTTCAAATAAAGAATTTTGGTACCCAAAAAAAAAAAAAAAAAAAAAAAAAAAAAAAAGAAGATATCCTATCTATCTTATTTTTGTGAGTCTAAGGTTTCATATCTAACTTATCTTTTATCATAACTGAGGAAAATTGTAACTATCTAGCTTCAACTACATTAAAGACCTTAGAAGGATATAATATTACCTGAGAAATGAGAAAAGGATGCAAGCAACTTTCGGGAGTCTTGCAGGGTAGAGAGAGACAGCTGGCTATTTCTATCAACACACATTTTTTTTTGGAAGTTGCTTGCATGCACTTCCTGTTTGTATTTTTGTTAGGTAATATTACTTCCTTCTTGGATCTCTGAGGAAGTTGAAGATTAGTTAGTTATAGCCGAAGATTAGTTAGTTAAAGATTAGTCAGGATAGAAAGTGAATTAGGTACATATTGGACTTACCAAAATAGGACAGATAATGGAATTATTTTCTCTGAATTTGTCAAATGCAAATGGACTAGACATTGTTTGAGTATTTATTATTTGTATATATGGTATATAGTTATTGTACTTTTTATATAGTTTTTCTTATGTTAGTTATAACCTTTTTCCTTTTTATTGAAATAGAAAAGGGGAAATATGGTGATATTTTATTTGTACTGAAATGTGATTTTGTTTGTATGTTAATAAATAAAGTTGCCTGGGGATCAGAGCTAATAGCAAGCCATAGCAGAAGTCTGGCAGTGGTAGCACACGCCCTTAATCCCAATCACATGACAGGCAGATTTCTGTGTGTTCAAGGATACCACCAGCATGGAGACACACACCTTTAATCTCAATACCAACCATAGAAGCTCTGGAGGTCTGTATAGATGGGCAGTGACGAGGAGGTCATGTGGTTGGATTTACAACAAATGAAAAGGCAGAACAGAAAGTCTGTAAGAAGACAGACACACAGGAAGTAGCTCTCTGGCTGAGGAGGACAGCAGCGGCAGTGAAGGGTAAGCTTTTTAGCTCTTAGCTATTGCTCTGACCTCTTGGGCTTTTTGTTTCTTATTTAATTTATTAATCGGCTCTGTGTTTCTTATTTAAAAAGACGGTTACATCTACAGTATGCCTTCTTCCCAATCCTCATATCATGAAATCTTCAATACTGGTATTTGAGTGTCTTTGGCCGCCATATTGAATACAAGGTAAAGTGGGAGTTCAAAGGGTAAACAGCATGGAATGCAGATAGCTCCTTCTATGGAAACTAAAGTGTGAAGACTCCTGCAATGAGGTAAAAATTCCTCTCAGTATGCATAACCAGAGGATCCAGACTCTGGTCACAACTGTGCCCTTCATCATGCGGTGGACAAGCCATTTCCCTATCAGAGCCTATTCTCTGTCATGAACCATAAAAAAGTCTCCTGGGACCCTGAGAGGGATATACAGATCACCTTGGGATGGGGAAACAGGAGATCTGGATGAGTAAACTGGGGATGGGAGGGCAATAATGGGTAGGGGATGGGGGATGAGAACATGAGGGAATGGGATGGTTGAGCTGGGGGGAGGGACGGAGTGGGAGAGCAATGAAAGAGATATCTTGATAGAAGGAGACATTATGGGGTCAGGGAGAAACCTAGTGCTAGGGAAATTCCCAGGAATCCACAGGACAACCCTAGCAACAGTGGTGAGGGTACCTGACCTGGCCTACCCTGGTAACCAGGTTGATGAATGCCCTAACTGTCATCCTAGAGCCTTCCTCCAGTAACTGATGGAAGCAGATGCAGAGATCCACAACCAAGCACCAGGCCGAGCTCCGGGAGTCCAGTCTAAGAGAGGGAAGAGGGATTACATGAGCAAGGGGAGTCAAGATCATGACGGGGAAATCTGCAGAGACAAGTGAACCAAGCTGAAAGGAACTCACGAACGTTAGACTAACAGCTGTGGAACCTGGATGGGACCAGATTAGACCCTCTGCATATGGGAGACAGTTGTGTAGCTGGGTCTGTTTGAGGGGCCCCTGGCAGTGGGATCAGGATCTATTCCTGGTGCATGAGCCGGCTTTCTGGATCCCATTACCTATGGTAGGACACCTTGCTCACCCCTGATATATCGGGGAGAGGCTTGGTCCTGCCTCAACTGAATGTACCAGCCTTAGCTGTCCCCCAATGGGAGAACTTACCCCGTTGGAGGATGTGGGGGGGGGGGGGGAGGCAGGGGGAGCAGGAGGAGGGATGAGAGGGGGATCTGTGGTTGGTATGTAAAATGAATTAAAAAAAATAAAAACAGAAAGAAAACTCCAACTCAAACAGACCCTTTATGCAGGGGGGAGGGGCTTGGTCCTACCTCAACTGAATGTACCAGGGGGGCTGTCCCCCCATGGGAGGACTTACCCTTTATGAGGAGGGAATGGGGGAGAATTGAGGGGGAAGGCAGGGGGAGCAGAAGCAGGGATGAGAGGGGAATCTGTAGCTGGTATGTAAAACGAATAAAAATTTTTTTAAATATAAAAAAAAATCTCTTGTCCTGACTGTCCCCTGACAAGTGGACCCAGTGCTACTCTGGGGGAGGAAGTGCTCTCTGAGTTCTAATGTCCTTTACAGTGTGAGCAAAGTTCTTCCAGGCACACTGAACCAGAGGGCCCATGGGATTGAACATCTGCACATCAAGTTCCCATCAGTTTTCAGTGCTGCTCTGTGCAACCCTGGAAATCATTGGAGGAAAATACATAATTTGTGTAGATGAATTTCTAAATGATCTTATTAAGTAAAAAACACAGAGACAAATATAGGGGTGAAAGCCTTGGATCAGAGAAATAGGAAAAGCCACCAGCCAACCTTACCTTACCAACTCTGCAGCTTCCAAATGGCGTGACTTCCTGTCTACTCAGGCTTTATATGCCTTGCTTTTCTGCCCTCTCATTGGCTCTCTTAGCCCAGCTACCTCACTTCCTCTTCCTACACCGCTCTGTCACTTTCTGTCTGTCTGTACAGACCTCCAGGTCTCTATGGTTGGTACTGGAATTAAAGGCCTGTGTCACCACACTTGGCTCTGTTCCCTTGAACACACAGAGATCCTGCCAGCTAAGTGATTGGATTAAGAGTGTGTGCTATCACTGCCTGACTTCTTTGTTTACTTATAATGGCTTTTACCTCTGATTCTCCAGGCAAGCTTTATTTATCAAAGCACAAATAAAATATCACCACAAATTTGCCTAAATGTTCTCAATTGGAAAACATTTCTTCTGTGAAGTTGATTGATTAAACACATATTTATTAAGAACCAACATCAATTGACATGATAATATGGAAGGGGGAAAACTCATTGGGCCATACCTCTAAAGAATTATAGGAAACTAGCAAATTCTGAGAGCAGGAGAAAGAGCCTTCCCCAGGGATGAGCCTCCTCATTGGTTTTCCAACCAATTGGTCAGCCATGAAATCATATACCTACAAGTAACATAAACAGACTGAGCATGTTGTATGTTTGTGTGTGAACATACACATGTGTAACAATAAAGTTAAAGATAAATAGTCCATAAGTTTGAAAAGGATCAAGGGAGGCACAGGATGAAAAGGAGGAAATGATGTGAGTATATTTTCATTTCCAAAACCAGAACTTAATATATGTTGGATACCATTCTTCCTATTAAGGATCTCTCTCTCTCTCTCTCTCTCTCTCTCTCTCTCTCTCTCTCTCTCTCTCTCTCTCTCTCAACAACACAAAAAGAATTCTTGCTCTTTTTTCTAAATTTTTACATTTATTTATTGATTGTTGGAGACATGTGTAGAGGTCAGAGGACAACCTGTGAGAGCAGGTTCTCTTCTTCCACCATGTGGGTCTCAAGGACTGAACTCAGGTTTGCAGCTTAGTCCCAAGTGCCTTTGCCCACTGAGACATCTCACTCACTCAATATCCTTACCCCTAGGGAAATCTAAATATTCTGGCAGGCTTCTAGCAACACATAGGTAGATATATGATTTTTTTTAAACAAGCTGATTTCAGCTAATGAAAGTACAATAAAGGAAATAAAATTAGTTTTCATAATAATTGTAAGTGGCTTTTGATGAGGTGCTCTGAAAAGAAGTGTCAATGGGAATAAAAATGAGACTGTGAGAAACCAGCAAAGAGAGAGGTGGGGGAATGTGTGAAGATTTGAAGGAAGGACATTTCAGACAAGCAAAAAGCCAATGCAGTGTGAGCATGTGTGAGCAAATGAAAATCAAGTAGCAGAAGGACAGAGCAGCTGGAGGGAGGGAAACAGGGACAAGACGGTGTCCAACACCGGATGAGTACACTCATGTCTTATGGGGACCAAAGTGAGTTGCAACTTCATTCACAATGTGCTGAGAATTAACTGGTGACAGGATTACGGAATTAAGTGCTTACTTCACAGAAAACATGAAGTCCTCGGTCTGATCCCCATATCCCATGTTTGTTTAAAACTGGGTATAGAAGTACAAGTCTGTAATCATAGCTCTCGGGAACCAGAGACAGGTAAATTCCTGGACCTGGCTGGCCAGACAACCTATCCTAATCAGACAAATCCCAGTGAGAGTTCCCGTCTCAAAAAGCAAAGAAATAAAACCAGAAAATGGATGGTGCCCAAGGGAACCAGGACCTGGTTGTCCTTTGACTCCTGCATGTGTGTACACATACTTACATACACATCTACACACATACACAAGTACAGACAAATAAAACTCCTGAAAACAATTTTAAAAATTGTGATATTTGAGGATATAGATCACACAGTCCATGTTATGTTTTTAAAGCAATTGTCCTGGGAGTGGGCTGTGTAGGAGGTTAGGGAGCTACATTAGTAAGAGAGATCTGAGCAGAACAGAGTATCATCAACCCAACTCACATGGCCCGGGGTCTGCCAGGTTTATTATGTAAGTTCTCTACATTCTCCATCAGGAAAGGAACCAGTTTCTTTGCTGTCTGAGGCATCATATAGAGAATGAACTGTGATCTCTTGACTTTGACCAGCTTAGCAGCTGCAAGGCCCATTATAGCTTCATTCAGGCTAGACTGTGAACCTAGAAAGGAGTGAAACAGGGCCAAGTAACTGTCATTCTAGGTCAAAGAAGTAGTCCAAAGATGTACACAAAATTTAGTCAGAAAACCTTGCCTCTAGTATGGCTCCTTTGTGTCCATCCATAAGTTATTCCACAGACATATTTTCTCTCATGTCCAGTAGAATACTAAAAACCCTCACTATGTCTCTATGAACAGGAGCATATTTAAATAATAGCCAATCTTGTTCGAGCATGTTTTATGCCCAGGCATTAATCTTAAGCTTCATTCATTCCTCTCATTGATTCTATGTTTCAGTATCTTTTAGTATCAGAGTTTTTACACGTGAGGACACTGACTAATGGGAAAGTCATCTGCTCCAGAATCACAACTTGGAGGCAGAGCCAGGAAGTTCTCTGTGGCTTTAACTCCAGAGAGCACATTTGCAACCACACTAGATATAAATCTTGGTGACCTGGCAAGTGCTCTGTGTCACAAGCTGTCATTCTTGTTCCAGGAACAGAAGGTCAGAGGCCACGCTCGGTCTCCCATCTAGTTGTTCTGAGGGCTCCTGAATATGTCTTCAAAATACATTCAGCTAACCAAAAACTACATACTCACTGCTTCGTCTATTAACACCATAGTCTGTAATATTTGAAACTGGTTCCACCATAGAGGTAGTGGAAGCCAGACCAAGAAATGTGCATTAGGTTGGGATTCTGAAGTTTGCAGAAAGAGAAAAAAGGTTGCAGGGTGAGGTGCCCAGGGTGGAGGGTGATCCTACAGATGTGCATGCAGGAGGTCCCAGCAGACAGCACACACTCGTGTCCCCTTACTTTGGATCTGCAGATGTTGTTTCCAGTTGATGGCCTCTGGTGTGCCAAGGAATTCCAAACAGTTCTTAGGATTCTTAGAATAGATCTGGTAAGTGTTGGTATGGTGATCAAGGTCATCTGCCATCTCCTATTTGGTCAGGCAACACAGAGTAAATACAATTGACTACTCCATGTCATTTCAGTATTTTTTTTAGAATTTCATTATACATTTCCTATTATTCTTTAAGTTTATTCTTTGAAAATTTCACAGATATATACAATACATTTAGTCACGTTCACCTCACTCCCTCCCTCCAACTCCTCAAGACCCCTCCCAATGTATCTCCTCTCCAATTTCACTTCCTCGTTTTTTAAAAACAACCATTCAGTCCGGTTAGCACCATCCAGATATATATGTATTTGGGGTCACCCATCAGAATATGGGCAATGTGCCAGTGGTCACTGCCCAAAGAGAAGTGGCTCTCCTTCCCTGAGCAGCCACCCACCACCTTCAACCAGGGCTAGGGGTTCAGGAACTCCTTTCCCATCCTTGCTGGAATTTTCAAACTTATTCATTAAACTTAAGCAGAAATGTTTTCTTCAAATGTCAGCAGCATTTCTTAATTATTAACATCATGAAATCAAGTAAAAAAAAAACTCCACTCTATGGAAAAAAATTTATTAAACTTTATTAAAATTTATATATTCATTACAATTCAAAATCAACTAAAGATGGTTTATGAAACATTCTTCCCTGGGCTAGTAATAGTCAGGAAAAAGAAGAGCGATACTGTCAAAGGCCTTATAAGAGTAACTCTTCTTGTTCCAAACAGCCTCAAAACAAACGTGTTTTTTCTTTCTCTCTGTGTGTACAGAGTGTTTGCAAAGGGACGTGGGATGTGCATGGAGGTCAGAGAGCCTCTGTGAGTGCCAGTCTTCACCTTCCACCTTGTTTGAGACAGGGACTCTTGTTTGCTGATGTCAACACAAATCTAGCTGCCTGTCAAACTTCCAGGAATTCTCCTGTCTCCCAAGTCTCACCTCTCTGTAAGAATGCTGGGTTTACACACATGCACTGCTCTATAGAGCTTTATGGGGCTTCTAGGCATTTGAACCCAGGTCCTCAAACTTGCAAAGCAAATGGCCTCTTCAGCCCATAGATACATTTTTAGCACAACAATATTGAAATTGGCCAGATGAACTTGTATTCGAATTTTTATGTATACACAATAAAGTCATACGAAAACAAAACATGATTTCTTTAAACTGTAAAGCACAAAGCACCATTCTTCAGAAAAGACCTGTATTTCTGGCAAAAATCACAACATAATTTGTTCAGAAAGCTCTTATCAAAGTTAATAAATGACAGCTGGGATTTTTTTTAAGATAAAGGGGAGGAATGAAGAACAAATATTCAGCTAGGGCAGGCTAGCCAGAAAACATTGCACAGAAATGCCCTTGCAGCTAGACAAAACTACAACTGACAATCCATCTTATCAATACATTTGAAAAAAATATGATTCATTTTTAGTTTATATTGTAGGTTGTTTGGTGAGGTTTTTTAATAAATGTTATTGTGTATGTTTAAGGTACATGTGATATTATGAAACACACACATAATAATAACAATGTTTACTATACTGAAGCCAATGAGCAGACCTGTTGTCTCACATAATTACTCTTCTTTCTTTGGAAATAGCAGCAAGAACTTTACTAATTTAGCAGTAAATAGAGTAAAATTGCATGTTGCACGTTAGATCTTTGGGCTTCTTTAGTCTATATATCTGTTTCTTCGATGCCTTAGGCATGTACCTCCTTGCTCATCACCATCAGTTACATGGTTTTTGGTTTTGTTAAGATACACAGAAAAACTTTTTCAGATACATAGAAAAATTTTTTAATTCACATGTAAGTAAGATTATAATTATTTCTGTGACTGCCTATTTCACTTACCACAGTATCTTCCATTAATCTATATTTTAGAAGACAATAAATAGTATATCTTTCTTATATTGCTAATAATATTTAATTTTATACATATATCAGCTTTCCCATTCATCTGTCTGTGGGTTCCAGGGTTACTTCTTATGTATTACAAATAAGTATCCAATAAATACGGCAGTATAAACATTTGCAGCACTGATTTTATATCATTTCTGTATATATTTCTGCCCAGAAGAGTGATTACAGGATCAAATGCCAGTTTTATTTTTGTATTGGGGTACTTTCCTCCTATATATGGACTATTAAGAAGTTTTGTCGCCGGGCGGTGGTGGCGCACGCCTTTAATCCCAGCACTCGGGAGGCAGAGCCAGGCGGATCTCTGTGAGTTCGAGGCCAGCCTGGGCTACCAAGTGAGTTCCAGGAGAGGCGCAAAGCTATACAGAGAAACCCTGCCTCGAAAAACCAAAAAAAAAAAAAAAAAAAAAAAAGAAGTTTTGTCAAAAAAAAGAGTATTAGATTCTTTCAAATAATTTTTTTGTCATCCACTGACATGGCCATGTGATGCTTTGATGGACCACAACTGCTGGCTTGCATGTGCTAAGCCAGCCCTACATGATAGCATGCCACGTCAATTAACCATGGATGATAATGTTTTTGATGTCATTGAACTTGCTTTCTAATATTTTATCTAATATTCCATTAATATTCATTAAAGGAAATTGCTAGCAGTTATCTTATCTTCTATGGATTAGTATGAAGGTGGTAGTGGCCTCATAAAATACACATAGAAGAATTCTTCTAGGTCTATTATTTTGTAATAAGCAGTAATAATCTAGGCATGGTGATGTATGCCTGTAATCCCAGAACGTGGAGGAGGAGGATCAAGAATCTGGAACAGCCTGGGCTACAGAATGAATTCCAGGCCACCCTGGGCTAGAAGGCTCAACACTATCTGACACACATTAACAAGACAAAACAGAAAAGTGAGTACTAGTTCTGATCCTTCTCAGACTGTCTGTAGTACTCAGTATTAAACCATTTGGTACTATGTCTTGTGTTTTTTGCTTTTTTTAAACCATTTATCTATTCTTCATCTTTAGATTGAGAAATTTAATCATGTACATTTGAGGTTACTATAAAATAAGAGTGTATTACTAACATCTTGTTATTTCTTTTTTCTGATTTTGATCCCACATTCTTTTCTTTATCTCTTATCTCATCAGTTTAGACTCCATGTGCTTATCTTGTTTCCATCCAGAACAGGCCCTGGCATCACCAGGGTCTATCTCTGTTTCCCTGGAGCCTACATATTTCCAGGTTCATGTTAGACACACAGCAATGGTAAACTTACAGTCATAGTCACTCCATGATATAACTTACCTGCTCCTGAGGACGGACCATCACTGTATTAAAATCAGGCCACTTGTCCACCAGAGCTTTGAGTTTGAATGGGTTTCCCTGGTTCATATGGAAGACAGTCCCATAAACCTAAAAATTTCAACAAACTGAACAGTCAACTGTTCATAGGTACAGTAAAAAGCCTTGTACATAGGGACAGTAAAAGGCCTTGCTTTTGTTGCCAGAATGATGTTGATTTCTATGAAATTAGTATGTGTAAATCATATGATATCTTACACAATCTTTAAGTAATATATTATTACTCCAAGTAGATAGATTCTTAAACAAAATTATAAAACTGTTATAATAGTTAAATATGCAGATACAGTAGATTATTAATCACTCAGTCTCACATCATAGAAGTTTGTTCTATACATTTCTATTTTCTGCCATATAAACATATGCCCATATAATTTTATAAAAAAATGGAATTTCCTAATGTATATGAATTTCACATATACTGTACAAAGACATGTTTCCATGTCAAAAATATAAATTTACATAATAATGTTTAATATCTGCCTAATAGTTAACATTTGGGATCAATTACACTTGACATGTGTGATAAAATATTCAACATTCACAGTTAGAGAAAGAGACTCTGTTTCTAGCTACAATACACACATCATTCTGCTACCTGAGACTTCAATGAATATTGACTGGAAATGACTACAAAAATATTGACTTCTTGACTCTTCTCACTTTGTATGCAAGCACACCAGCACCTGGTATTATTTAACTTCTGCAATGTTGCCCAATGGATTTTTTGATCAAAGAATTTTAAACCTGGACCGTGGACTTTGCCATTTTGACAGACACCTTCCCTGTCTCATCAGAGGAGCAGTAATGTAGAATTACAGGAAAAACTCATGTGGCTTAGTCTATGAATGGCAGCTATATAGGTTGTCAGAGCATCTGGGCAAGTTAATAGAATATCATACTGCTCATGTTTCTTATCCTCCCAATCAATGTAATAATGGTACTAAACACATTTTCTCCCTGTCTTCCAGAAGAACCTAGATATACCAGTGGTAAATAAAAGAAAATGTAAACCAACAGGAGTCTCTGCCTGCTGTTTTGGGAGCTTGGTGTTCAGTGGGAATTTTTGTTTGTTTGTGCTATTGTAAATGGCAACTAATTTCAATTTTTGATTCCAATCATTCATTAATTGCCAATGTATAAAAATAGAATTGAGTTGTGCTACTTGAATATTGATCTTGAATCCTTTAACCTGTTAAACTTATGTCCAGAAGATTGTTTTGTGGGCTCTTTAGGCAATTGTGACCTCTGAGAACACACTACATTTTACTGCCCCACCACTACCATATGTATCACTTTAATTTATTTTTCTTGAATTATATACTGGTTAGGTCACCGATGTTTCATTAAATGAGATTAGGGAAAATGCTTAATTATCCATCTTAAGCAAAATATTCCATTTCTCTGCTTTATAGAAAGATCTTAATTGTACATTATGACTACATGCTTTTTGTCAAGTTGAACAAATTCTCTTTATTCCTAGTTTGCTGAGTTTCATATTTATCAAGACTATTATATTTTGTCACACATTTTTTTCTGTACCTATTAAAAAAGATCAAGCTAGGTGTGGTGGTGTACACCTGTAATGTAGGTAGGTACTCAGGGAGTTGAGGCAGGATGATGATAAGTTAAAGGGCAGTTTGGACTACTTAGTGAGCTCTTGTCTCAAAATACAAAAAATAGAAATCAATCATGGTGGTTTACACCAGTAATTTCAGCATCTTAGAGACTAAAGCAGAGAATTATCATGAATTTGAGGCCAGCCTAAATTACTTGTAAGCTGCAGGCAGTTTGGGCTACGTGATGAGATTCTGTCTTAGAAAACAAACAATTAGGGTGTTTGGCCATCCCATCACCAGAGTAGGCCAAACACCCTAATTGTTGTGCTAGAAACCTCATCCAACTACTGAGGGATCTGGATGCAGAAATCCATGACTAGGCCCCGGGTGGATCTCTGGGAGTCCAATTAGCGAGAATGAGGAGGGTTTATATGAGCGAGAATTGTTGAGACCAAGGTTGGATAAAGCACAGGGACAAATAGCCAAATGAATGGAAACACATGAACTATGAACCAATGGCTGAGGGGTCCCCACTGGATCAGGCCCTCTGAATGGATGAGACAGTTGATTGACTTGATCTGTTTGGGAGGCACCCAGGCAGTGGGACCAGATCTTGTGCTCATTGCATGAGTTGACTGTTTGAAACCTGGGTCCTATGCAGGATTGTTTGGCTCGGCCTGGGAGGAGGGGACTAGACCTACCTGGACTGAGTCTACCAGGTTGACCTCAGTCTGTGGGGAAGGCTTTGCCCTGGAGGAGATGGGAATGGGGGGGGGGGGGGGTTGGGGGGAAGGTGAGGGGGACGGGAGGGGGGAGAACAAGGGAATCCGTGGCTGATATGTAGAACTGAATTGTATTGCAAAATAAATTAATAAAAAAAAAATTATTTGAAAAAAAAAAAGAAAAAAAAAAAAAAAGAAAACAAACAAAACACCGGGCGGTGGTGGCACACGCCTTTAAACCTAGCACCAGAGCCAGAGGCCAGCCTGGGCTACAGAGTTCCAGGAAAGGCGCAAAGCTACACAGAGAAACCCTGTCTTGAAAAACCAAAAAAAAAGAAATCAAACAAAAAAGGATCATATGACTTTTATTCAATCGTGTATTGATATGGTGATTTGTATTGATTGAGCATGGAATCAAACCTATTGTTTAAATATATCTTGCTGTCTTGGTAGTATTTTTGAGGACTTTGGTGTTTATGTTAATGATGAATATAGTTCTATAGTTTTCTATTGAGATATAATTTTGGTTTTGTTACCAGAGTAACTCTGACCCTATGAAATGAATTTAGAAGTATTCCCTGCACAGGTTCTTACACATGTAAAGCAAACACTCTTATCATTGAGCCACCTCCTAAGACCCCCAAATTCCATTACTTTTAAGAACATTACTTATGTACTTTTACATAATCATTTAATGTGATTTTAATGTAATTTACATTTAATATAATTTAACATGCACTTTCAGAACATTTAATGTTATTTCAATATTTAAATTCTAATATATATATTCTAATATATTGATTATATATATTAGAATTTTACATATACTCTGTCTTGGAAAATGTCCTATGAACACTTGAACAGAATTATTAGTTTTGAGAAAGAATCATGTGGCTAGCTTCTTCTCAGATGTCACAGTTAGGAAAATATTAAACATTAATATTTTGTCAACCTGCAACTCTGGGAAACACCCAGTGTTATATAAACAATTCCTGTGTGAGCACAAGGGAATGTCCCTGAGTCACCAAAGATCACCTAGAGCAAATCATCACCTTGCCACACACTATGGTGTGGTCTAACAGGGCTTTCATTTCCTCTTCAGTTAAATGTGTACAGTATGCCTCCCTCCCCTCAGGGTGATATCAACTAAATGTTAAGCCACAAAATGAATACCTGACCTGGAACACAGATCAGTAAATGTTCCTTCTCTTTACCACCTTTTCTGTAGACATTTAATAGTCCCTTTTCTACAAGAATGTTCCATGTTCACCTTTAAGGACTCAGGAAGGTGTTTCCTTAAGGACTTCTCCAACATCTGCAGCATCTGTGGGCTTCGCAAATGGAGCATCTTGGCAGCTACCTTATCCTAAAGAAAGGATTAAGAAATAGATGTCAAAGACATCCACTATGAGATGGTGTCTTCTATATGTGTGGTGGTTTGAATAAGAATGGCCAGCACAGGCTCATATATTTGAATCCTTAGTCATCAGGGAGTGGCACTACTTAGAAGGATTAGGAGGTGTGGCCTTGTAGGAAGTGTGCTACTGGAAGTGGGCTTTGGGGTTTCAGAAGCCTAAGCCACACCCAGTGGATTGCTCTTCTTCTTCTTGCTGTCTGTGGGTCAGGTTGTAGAACTCTCAGCTGCTTCTCCAGCATCATGTCTCCTTGAATAGGGCTCCCCACTGTGATCATAATGGACTAAATCTCTGAAACTGTAGGCAAGACCCAATTAAATGTTTTCCTTTATAAGAGTTGCTGTGATTATGGTGTCTCTTCACAGCAATAGAACACTGACTAAGACAATGTATGACAGGGAAGCTGTACCCAGGAAATCTCAACAATACTGTTATCAAAATAAGACCTGAAAAAATGGCAATGTCAACTGACATGCCAATGTAGATAGGGGAATTCTCACAAGGCTTCTCCCCTAGATGAAGCTCTACAGGTGATCAATGGCTGCTAAAAGAGGAGGAATCAGTCTCCCCCACTAATGAGACTCCTGATAGGTTACCCAATACCAAGAGGTCAGCCCCAAACAGATATGAACAACACTAAATAAACTCAGCAAGTTGTAATTTATAAATTTCCGTGCGTGCGTGTGTGTGTGTGTGTGTGTGTGTGTGTGTGTGTGTGTGTGTGTGTAAATGTCACAATAATCAAAGAGTAAAAGTGCATGACTCTATAAAGAGTTGGGGTGGGGCACAGGCACTGAAGGAAAAAGAGGTAGAGGAAATGATGATGTAAATATAGTACTCACATGAGCAATTTTCAAAAAATTCAAAAAGGAAGGTGAGAGAATGGGAAGAGCTAGAAGGCATGCAGACACAAGGAGCAGTTCTAGTTTACAACTTGAGCTGTATTCCTACTGTTTCATGGGTGCCTCCTATAGTAAACTTTTCACTAAATGGAAGAAGAGATAGGTGCTTCCTTGTGAAACGATCATGAACATCACTTTTCAATCTTTAAAAATACTTCGGAAGATTTTGCTTTCATTTTTATAGCATCTACAATTCTAGAAATAAAGAGTGTATGAAGTTAACAAATCTATGCCCAAAGCATATATGGGCACCTTTTGGTAGGGGTGTGTGTGTGTGTGTGTGTGTGTGCACTGTGGGATAATGCTTTTGTGCACTGGTTTAATAAAATGCCGATTGGCTAGTAGCCAGGCAGGAAGTATAGGCGGGATAAGCAGACAAGGAGAATTATAGGAAGAGGAAGGCCGAGTCAGGAGACACCAGCCAGCTGCCCAAGGAGCAACATGTAATGGGATGCAGGTAAAGTCACGGATCATGTGGCAATATATAGATTAATAGTTATGGGTTAATTTAAGATGCAAGAACTAACTAGCAAGAAGCCTGAGCCATTAGGCCATATAGTTTAAAAATAATATTAGCCTGTGTGTGTTTATTTGTGTGTGAGAAGCTGTGGGACTGGCAGGTGAGAGAGATTTGTCCTGACTGCAGGCCAGGCAGGACACAGGAAAACTTCAGCTACAAATGGCACCCAATGTGGGGCAAGAATTTCCACCCAAAACCTGAGAAAGCTTTAAAAAAGGGTTCTAAAATGGAGCTAAGAACAGCTTCCTAGTTGTGTCTATCAGAAAAGCTGTGATACAGAGACACTGAGGCCTGCAGGCTTGAGCTACAGAATGGCAGGTTCAACAGCATATAGGCTTGAGTGCAGCATGGCCGATTCCTGCCTCTGTACACAGTGGCATCTGCAAGCCACACAGCATGGTGGATATAGCTTTTGCTAGTACAAAAAAAGTGTGTGTGTGGTGGGGGGGGAGGGGGGTGGGGGGGCCACATGCTGCTGGATGGAAGCATAGATCCACTGCCTCCCAGAGTTGGCTGAGAGTATGGTTTCCCCAGAGGTGGTGGTAAACATAGTTCAGCCATGTTGGAAAGCTGAGATGGGTGGAGCCAGCAGCCAAAGCTTCCATTTCAGTACTAGCCACTGCAGTTCAAAGCAATAGATTCACAATAAGGCAGATTCAGATGGAATAAGACTTTAAATGGTTTCCAGTGTGTGTAAAAAATGTACGTAGGTTTGAAAGAAAGAAGGAAAGGAGGATAGTTAAATAAAGAAATAGTTTCAAAAAATAAAATCTTTAAAAAGAAAATAAAAGTAATAAAACATAAGCCATGTAAAAATGGATATTACAAAGAGAGTCTGGGTTATATTGTCTTTGGGATTTTTAACTGCAGAAAGACATTTGATTGTAAAGGCTGCTCAGTTAAACCAATATGTATATTTTAAAGGTATCTTGACTTCAAAATTTGGATCTACGGATATGTTGCTTTGGAAAGGAGGCTCTGCTTTTGTTTCCAGAGGAAGCAAGAGGCTGTGGATTTGTTCCAGGTTAAGATGGATCAGATTTGATCAAGCCAGGCATCCTGAACCTTAACAGATAGTACCTATCAACAAAGGTTATAGCCAGTCTTCCCAGGACTTGACCATTATCTTGAATTTTCTCAGGATCCCCATAAGACTACCAGTGCCCTCTATCAGCAGGAAGTAGCCTAGAATACTATGCCCGCATTCCCAAAAAAATGGATTATGGATATTTGTCTTTGTTTAGAGATTGATTACAAACTGTTTTTGGTCATAGTCAATATCTTAGTCAAGAAAAAAAGGGATGGGATATAGATATAATTGGATGAAAGGATAGATTATTGAATCTACTTTTAAAGAGCAACAACTTGCTTAAAATGTTTTACATTGCTATAGATTTTAGTTTATTGATACAAATTTAAAGTTAATTTTGTTATACTTTATATATATATATATATATATATATTTCTACTCTTGTTTAAGGTATTATGTTTGTATAGCTCATTTAAATAGTAATGGATAATTAAGAAATACAGATTAATAATTAGTCTTCCATGACAGTCAAACTTATAGTCATGTTATGTTTTCTAGGTATACATAGATATAATTAGATAGATAATCTTCAAACACTTCAAAGACCTATATAATATGGCATTTAAAATGTTTTAAAACCTTAGACTTTCCTGAACAATGAAACACGTCTGCTCCTGGCAGTAGTGATTTACTTCAGAGAGGTGGATGGGCTTTGAAGACACTCCATATGGAGTTTATCTTCTTCTTGGCAAAAATAGAAATTTGGGCAAGGCTGGATTGCTTAAGAAAATGTTTTATTGATTGGACATACAGGACCCATGGAAAAGTGACCATTGAACTTTATAAGGAGAGATGGTCCTTCAGGTTCTTGCTTCACAGAAGAAACTGCCAGACATTCTATAGGACACAGAGAAAAGAGACTGCAAGACTCTAGGCCTATATGGCTAAAGATGGATGCCCCAACTTTGCAGAGGAACTTTTTCAGGCAGGCAGCTGTCTCTGTCATTCTGTATTTTTGGAAGTTGCTTACAATGCTCTTCCTGTTTACTTAGATAATATATCCATCTGGCATCCTCAGGCCAGATGAGACACAGGAAAACTTCAGCTGTGTGTGTGTGTGTGTGTGTGTGTGTGTGTGTGTGTGTGTGTGTGTGTTAATATTGGGGATTGAACCGAGGTCCTTATGTACACTTGCCAAGTACTCTACCACTAAAATAAATGCACTGAACACTTGTGGATTTGAAACAAAGTAAAAAGGATTAAGATGGATGGGTTATCTGTGTCTCTGACACATGGTAAATGAGGTCATGGTAAATGAGATAGTAGCCTTTAAGTCTACTGCAAAGCACCTAGCTCTATGCTTGCTCATTATTTGTCAACCTATCTTAATAACTTAATGAAGCACATTGTTTCTTGATATTGGCAACAAAAAAGAAAAACAAAAGGTGTTTCTTCTGAGCTCTTCCCTGTGGGTTATAATGATGCTATAGCATACCATTACCAGAGTTGACAGTGTGTTAGAATGAGAATTTTACATATAGGTAAACAGATTAATAGGTAGGTGGATGGATGGATGGATGGATGGATGGATGGATGGATGGATGGATAGAAGGATAGACAGATGACAGACAGACAGACAAATAAATGGATAATACAGACAGATGATAAATATTCTTTAACCTTGACCCATTTATTTTCTATATAGAAGGATTAGCAATAATTTATGTATGATAAAACTCACCAATCTTAAATTAATAATTTTATGAGTTTTGGAAAATGTTTACATTTGCTTAACTAGCACTATAAGAATAATGTAGACCATTTCCATACACCCAAAAAGTTCATTTCCATCAATCTCTTTATCTGACTCTCTGACCCAAGAAATCATTAGTAGTTTTCTGACACTATAATTGTCCTTGAACAAAATGTAAATTAAATGGAATTATTTAATATATACTTGTATATTAAATCTATAATGGAATTGTGTTGTATTTTTCAATATATGATGCATTTAAATATATTTTTGACACTGGTTTCTCTTAACAATCAAATCCAATTTGTTTTTTTAGTATTTCAGCAGTACAGTTTTTTTTAATCAGTGGATAGTATTCATGTATGCATGAATCAGAGTTTCTTTATCCTTTAATCTTATGGATACTTGGTCTGTTATGGTTTATAGGCAGTTATTCATAAAATTATTATTCTAGTAAATGTACACATTCATGAGAATGTTTTTATTTCCAGAACTACATGGTATGTATTTGACTTTGTAAGTAATTGCTTATCTTTTTTCCAAAGTGAATGCATAATCTTACATAATCATTGTATAATCAAGAACCATCGATGCAGTATTCTAAAGCCTCAGCTCCACATGGGAAAATACACAGGGCTCATTACCAAGGCAGGTCAAAAGGTCAAGGCCCACATATATTTCAACAGATCAATTTTCCAAGGAATTGGTAGTGCTGGATTTTACCCAAACACTGTGACTCAGCAAAA